GTGTTTGTCAAGAAGTTGCACATGTGAAAAGTGGTTGTATATCTAAAGATTAACAGAGAGTAAGGGGCTGGGGATTTAGCCCAGCGGCAAAGTGCCTGCCTGGCAAGCGCAAGGTCGTGAGTTCGGTTCCCGGTACCGGAGAAAAACCAAAAAAAAAAAAAAAAAAAAGAATTACTTCCTTGTAAAAAACATGGATCTTTTGTCATATACTTGGGGATGTAATGGTGACTGACTCTTGTAGTACATCCTGTCCTGTGGTTCATCTGGTGTCTATTGTAAAATTTGAGTGCGGCAGGAAGAAATGCATACTATACTTTTAAATAGGACCTGTGTGAAGGGCCAAGGAGAGTGTACACTTGTCCTTTGTCTCCGTGGTGGTCCCTACCTCTCATTTCCTTCTGAAAGATTTTATTCTGTATATTCTTAAAAGAAATAGACAAAGATATCTTATAACTTCTTTTTGCTACTATAGGGACACTGACCCTTCCTGACCTTGGCAGCCGTAAAAATCTCTCCCTACTTCACATAAAGGGCACCGTGCTGGGAGTACAGACTTCATCTGGATGCGTTGAAAGTCGCATATGGACATCGCTTTGACTTGAAATTGTTGAAGTTTACAAAGCACAAATTTTACAAGGTTGTTACACAAGTCAGGGGCAAATAATTAGAAGTAGAATAATAGTAAATAAGCCCTAAACTGTTAGAATCCTGGCAAGATTAGGTAACATTTGGCATAAAATTATCAGAAATCATCTCTGCTCATCAGAATATACATCTCTAAGTGTATAAGTTTTTTATATCAATTTTTATTTACTGGTTGCTTTCTGCATTAACATTTTAAAATTTGCAATTTGAGACAATTTTTACAAAATTTCTGATTTCATATGAATTACTCCTCTTTCTTAGTAAGACTATCCTTAAACAACTTAATTTTAATAATCTTTGTATGTACAACTGTATATATTAATTATAATTACTTACAAGTCAGTTATTTTATTTGTATTATAACATTTTAAATATTTATGCCAGTTACATTTATTTAATTAACTCTTTCACTAGTTGGTTTTATATTACGCATTACTGCCAAACTATCAGGGAATTATAGTTAACACTTTAATCTATTTCCCTGCCAAATAAAGCCCTAAAATTTGCTGTACTTGAAAAAATAGCAAGAAATGGATGTTGTTTCTTGCTTTTTTTTTTTTTTTTTTGAGTTTATGGAAACTTCCGTGTTTTTGCCTTTATCTTTCTAGGAGACACCACGCAGAGCGCAGGTCTTTTTTTTTTTTTTTTTTTTTTTTTGGCAATTGGTATTGAACCCAGGGCCTGCGAACTGAACTACCTCCCCAGACATGTTTTATTTTTTTGAGTCATGGTCTTGGAAAATTGTTAAGTTGTTCTAAGTTGTACTTGAATCTACTATGTGTCCCTCCTGCCTCAGCTTCACGATAGTAGGGTTCCAGGTGTGCATCACTATGCCTGACTCGTTACTTAAATTTTTAACAAAGATAATTACTATCCTGACTGGTTAGCAACTTAGATAAAACAACTTGCTACCAAAATTAAAAACAACTTTACTTTTATCTTACAAATTTAAGTTAACTAATTTGTGAAAGATCTACCTAAATCATGAAAACAAAAGGACATTTGGACTCATTCCTTCAGAGCTCATTCATCTCTAAGCCAAATTAAATAGAACTTCTAGGTGGGTTTTATTCTTTAAACACATGTAACAGGTATGCAAAAATTGCACACTAAAATGTATAAGACTAAACAACCTTCACATTACCAGACTTTGAGATTTTTTTTTCAGGGTACCCAGGATTGAACCCAGCTCCTTCACACTGAGCTATACCCCCAGTCCATTTATTTATTGATTTACCTTTTTTGTTTTTGAGGCAGGTTCTGGCCAAATTGCAGTTCTCTCTCTTGCCTAAGTCTCCTACATTTCTATTTGTAAGTTTTATGTAAGCCTTGATCCAGTTTTATAGAGCAGAGTAACATGTTCTTTTTTTTTTTTTTTTGGTACCAGGAATCGAACTCAGGGATCAGTGACCTCCAGCACACTTGTCAGGCAGGCACTGTGCTGCTGAGCTACATCCCCAGCCAAGTGAGGTTGAGTTAACCCTCAAATTCCTATAACCGTATTTTTTGTTTGCTTGTTTTTGGTTTTATATTTTAGTGAAGAAAGTAGAAGAAAAAAAAAAACAGCTAAAAGTATATGTATTACTATATAATTACAGTATAAAAACTATTTTGAAATTATTGACAAGAAATATTCTAAATTAGGCATGACAGTCAACAACAAAATTAAAAGCCATGGTGCTAAACAAGAGCTTCCTTCCAATTAAAGCATCTACTTCACAGGGGTTTATGCTCTATTGTCAAGGGTCACACAGAAATCACAAGTCTCAGAATATGGGCCATTCACAGGGAAAATCATATAAAGTAAACTTTTGTCCATGCAGGCAACAACACATATGTTGTGTTGTTGTACACTAGGTCTTGGGGTTGCCATCAACCACCAACTTCTGCATGGACCAAGGAATCCACAGGGGAGTTGTGGGAAGTA